TTCTCGGACAATTCTGATTCGATACTCTCTGAGGTTCAGAATTATCTCTGGCATTCAAAATTCCTTTGTAACCCAGGAAAGAACGTACCACATTCCTTTCTAACTGTGTTTCCCCTTCCTGGCCCCAGCGTTTCTTGGGGAATTCTGATTCCATAGTCTCTGAAATTCTGAATACTCTCTGGTACTCAAAATTCCTTTCTAACTCGGGAAATTCCGTATCAAATTCCTTTCTAACTCCTTTTTCCCTTCCTGGCCCCAGAGTTTCTTGGGGAACTCTGATTCAATAGTCTTTGAAATTCAGAATTCTCTCTGGTACTAAAATTCCTTTCTAACTCGGGAAATTCCTTATCGAATTCCTTTCTAACTCCGTTCCCCCTTCCTGGCCCCAGCGTTTCTTGGGGAATTCTGACGCGAGTGGGCCTGCGATTCAGAATTCTCTCTGGTATCCAGAATTCCTTTCTATCTCTGGAAAATCCTTGTTTAATTCCTTTCTAACTCCTTTTTCCTTCCTGGCCCAGACCTCTCGGCGTCGTAAAAAAAACAAAACAAAAAAACAACGCCAAAAACGAAATTCCTTTCTAACTCTTGAAATGCGTTATTTAATTCCTTTATAACTCCTTGTTTCCCTTCCTGGCCCAGCCCCCCCGGCGCCGTAACAAAACAAAACAAAAAACAACTTCAAAAAACGAAGTTCCTTTCTAACTCTTGAAATTCCTTATTACATTCCTTTCTAAGTCCTTTTTTCCCTTCCTGGCCCAGACCTCTCGGCGTCGAAAAAAAAAAAAAAACAACCGCAAAAACATAATGCTTCTCTAACTCTTGAAATTCCTTATTAAATTCCTTTCTGACTCCTTTTTCCTTCCTGGCCCAGACCTCTCGGCGTCGTTAAAAAAAAAACAAAAAACAACCCCGAAACACGAAATTCCTAATTCTTGAAATTCCTTATTCAATTCCTTTCTAACTCCCTTTTTCCTTCCTGGCCCAGACCTCTCGGCGTCGTAAAAAAAACAGACCCCCGAGAAAAAAAACAACCAAAAAAACACAAATCCCTTCTAACTCTTGAAATTCCGTATTAAATTCCGTTCTAACTCCCTTTTCCTTCCTGGCCCAGACCTCTCGGCGTCGTGAAAAACAAAACAAAAAAAAACAGACCCAAAAAAAACGAAATTCCTTTCTAACCCCTGAAATTCCGTATGAAAATTCCTTTCCAACTATTTTTCCTTCCTGGCCCAGACCTCTCGGCGTCGTAAAAAACAGAACAAAAAAACAACACCAAACAAACAAAATCATTTCTAACTCTTGAAATTCCTTATTGAATTCCTTTCTAACTCCTTTTTCCTTCCTGGCCCAGACCTCTCGGCGTCGTAAATAAAAAAAAAAACAAAACAAAAAACAACACGGAAACAAAACAAAATTCCTTTCTGACCCTTGAAATTCCTAATTAAATTCCTTTCTAACTCCTTTTTCCGTCCTGGCCCAAACCTCTCGGCGTCGTAAACAAAACGAAACGAAAAACAACCCCAAAAAACTAAATTCCTTTCTAACTCTTGAAATTCCTTATTCAATCCCTTTCTAACTCATTTTTCCTTCCTGGCCCAGACCTCTCGGCGCCTTAAAAAAACAAAACAAAAAAAAACAACCCCCAAAACGAAATTCCTTGCTTGCTAACTCTTGAATTTCCTTAGCAAATTCCTTTCTAACTCGTTTTTTCCTTCCTGGCTCAGACCTCTCGGCGTCGTATATATATATATATATATATATATATATATATATAACCCAAAAACAAAATTCCTTTCTAACTCTTGAATTTCCTTATCGAATTCCTTTCTAACTCCTTTTTTTCCCTTCCTGGCCCTGGCTTCCTCGGGCAATTCGGACCCGATTGTCTTTGAGGTTCAGAACTATCTCTGGTATTCAAATTCCTTTCTAACTCAGGAAATTCCTTATCGAATTCCTTTCTAACTTACCAACTCAATAGAAATGCATAACCAAAATGCTCTCGGCAATATTTCGAGCCTACATTATTAATTCCCGACACAATTATTGATGTAATTGCATGCAGTGCGCACTGCAGAATTAATTCCGAAACCAATTAAAGCTGTACTGTAACCAAAAAGTTCCAAGCCTCCAGGGAAGGTTCCTGAAAGTGTGGCCTGAGCACCTCATGAGCCTGAGGAGGGGCGTCCTGAGATAGCTTAATCCCAGTGGCAACCAAATCCCTAATCTGCTTACAACCATTAGCACGTTCACGGTGCCTGGGGATCCTCTGGAGGACAACGAAGACCCGAGACCACCGCGTAGCAACTTTATCGGAGAGCGGAAGCTCACGATACTTAAGCGCCTGCTGGACCTCCTGCTGCTGTAAGGAGGGTCCCTCGGCTCGAGATCGACCCTGGAAGGCATGGCCTTCTGGATCAGCAGAATGATGAGCGGAAGTAGAGCGTTCAGCTGATTGCACCCAATATGCAAACCGACTGCCGACTGCCCAAATATGCGGCCCCAACCGTAAAAGCGTGCGAATCCCGAATAAAACTGGCTACGTCTTCCCTGGCTTGAGGAACGAAACCAACTTGAGCCGAATGGTGACGCCAAGTGGAGTCAGGAACGAGGAAGGTAACTGACGGAAGCTCAACTTCTCGAGATTCACCTAATTCCTCCGCGGGGAGGAAAACGCTGGGGGGGTCGCTCATGCTCCGCTCATCAGTCTGCTCATCCTGGCCGCATTCGAAAGGATCTTCATCCTCTTCGCCAATGAGAGAAAGGCTAAGTTCAAATGGGTCTGAATGGCCAGGGACTGTGGATCCGCCAGCCAGATGGTTGACCTCCGAGTGTTGACTGAGCAAATCTCCAAACAACTCGTCACAAGCTTTGCGAAAAGTTTCGGCGGCCTTCTGCTTGTATTCCATCCTAGCCTGCTTGGACTTGCTGGACTTGCTACCAGGTTGAGGCAGAGAGCCTGGCCTGGCCACCTGGGGGAGCTTGGACGATAGCTGCAAAGACCGAGTCAACAAAAGGCGACTTGTGCTGGCAAGAGACACAATCAATCCGCAATGCGTGCCCCATGGCACGTCTAGCTTGGCGTGTATCGACTGAATGTAACAACGAGCAGCACTACTGACGACCAGATAATCAATGTGACTACTGCCCGTGCCTGTGACGCATGTGGACTCCACGTCGGCAGTCATTGCTACCGCGTCGAATGAGTCTAAGAAGCGAGACTTATTGAGCTCCGTAGGGGAAATGTTGAAATCTCCCAAGACAATCCAAGGGAAGGCGAGCGCTGCCAAGAAGGCCCCGAGACGCGTGAGCCTCCTAGCGTCGTCACCGAAAATTCCCTGAGAAGGAGATGGAGGAGGAGGAGGAGGAGGAGGAGGAGGAGTGGGAGGAGGAGGAGAAGGAGGAGGAGGAGATGGAGGAGGAGGATGAGAAGGAGGAGGAGGAGCAGGAGGAGGAGGAGGAGGAGGAGGAGGAGAACGGGGCCGAGTTTTTCTCCCGCTGGGTGCAACACTGAAGACCTCCTGAGGCCAAAGGGTCGAGGCGGCCCGGCCACCTGGCCGGTTCCGGGCACCCTGAGCTCACACGTGTTGACGCCTGCCACGTTTGCTTCCGACGCCATCCGTCGGGAACCCCGCCGCCGTTCTGCCTCCCACCGCTCCGCCGGGGGCGGGCGAGGGTGCGCCGAGGGTGCGCCGAGGGAGATGGAGGTGGAGGAGGAGGAGGAGGAGGAGGAGGAGGAGGAGGAGGAGGAGGAGGAGGAGGAGGGGGAGGAGGAGGAGGAGGAGGAGGAGATGGAGGAGAAGGATGATAAGGAGGAGGAGGAGCAGGAGAAGGAGGAGGAGGAGAAGGAGGAGATGTCCTGGAGCGCGCCACGCCGCCCGACTGACTGCGGGCCGTCCTGGCTGCGGCGGCGAGCCCCTGGGCGGAGGTGCGCAGGAGAAGGCCTCCTCGGAAGGCTCCGAAGGCCCCCGGCCTTCTGGGTTTCCCGACCCTCCCCCGCAGCTGCACAGGACCTCCCAGAAGGCCAGAGGGCCTCCGAGCAGCTCCGCCGCCCTCTGGGAGGGCCTCCCCCTTCCCTCTGCCTCCTCCTCCTCCTCTGCCTCCTCCTCCTCCTCCTCCTCCTCCTCCTCCTCCTCCTCCTCCTCCTCCTCCTCCTCCTCCTCCTCTCCATCCTCCTCCTCCCCGTTCGCCGCCAGTGGTCGAGCTCGGGCCTCGGGATGGTCCCTCCGGTGGCTCCTGGAGCACCACGGCCCTCCCCGGGAGGTGGCCCGTCGACCACGGCCGCGCGCCTCTCCCTCGCATCCCTGCAGGACAGCTTCCGACACCGTGGCCGTCGGGCGTGCCCAGGGGGGGGGGGGGGGGGGGGCGAACAACGAGCAGAGACAGCTGGGGAAACAGAGAGAGCGTTGGTCGTAAGAAGAAAGAGAAACAAATATAGAGAGAGAGAGAGATAAAGAGAGAAAAATATAGAGAGAGAGAGAGACAGAAAAAAGAGGGAGAAAAAGAGAGAAATGGAGAGAAAGAAATAAAGAAACATATAGAGAAACAAAAGGCAGACACTTCTGTGGAAGCTATTGCGGGCGCGCTGCCACGTCCCGACACACGGGAAGCACCCGCATGGCAAGCGCTCGCGCAGCATCCGTGCGAGTGCCCGCGCCAGTCATGTTACACACGCTGCAGGTCGGTGAATGTTGCCAGACTGGGTGAGCTCGACCTCTGTACCTGTCGATGCGAGCACTGGAGCCACGCGTGCGCATGACAAGTTTGGCCTCGTTCACGGCGACATCGACATCCCACTACCCAGACCTCCAACGTCATGACTTTTTCATGACGCGACCCTCAGAGGTCCGGACCCATTCCCCGGGACTGGTTTTTCATCCTGCGTCGTTTTTTGACGGTCCTGAGGGCCGGTAAGGGCCCCCGGAGGCCGAAATTAGCGAAAAACCTCCCGCCGTGATTCTTTCATGACTCGAGGGGGTCTGGGTACCTGGATATGTGCTCTCCTGCTGAGGCAGTCCACCAAGTCCAGACCTGCTCGACGCCGCTGCGATCGGCAACGCTTCCGCTCTGCTCCCACCGCCATCCCGCATGGCTCCTTGCTGCTGCTCGTGTCAATTGCCGGGCACTTTGTTGTCATGTCGATCCAGGACCCCCATGGCAGAACGGAAACCAGAACTTTGACTTGATAACTGTTTCCCGCCGACGACATTTCAATTCAACGCTCGTCACTGGGGCGCCTGTGACTGGTATCCTGGTCTACACACCTGACCCCTGCAATGCCGTGCCCAATCCATCCCGGAAACGGGGATCGACAACAAGGAGGGGGATCTACAAAGAGTGCGCCTATACTGCCCAATGCGCGACTGCGAATTCTCGAATTTGGCATCGAGCCCGCATGCATGCGCACATGTGACATGACCTGCGGTGGCTAATTACCCATGGTCGAAAGAAAAAACTAGGAAGAAACATGTTGTGCGAGGTGAAAAATGTGTCCGTGCGTGCGCGAAACTCGCGCTGCGACTGCGACCAAGCCGGGGGCTCCCGCGTGCAGCTGGCATTCCGCGGCTGCACAGGAGCCTGGCACCTCTGCGCCGCGCTGCTCTCGGCGGCCCCATGGTGCGTCGGCACCACCGGCACGCGCAGGCCAAGACACGGGAGGCGGGGGAGGCAGCGGAGGGCGGGAGCTCAGCACCGCGGGGGAAAGGGGCAGCGAAGAGGAGGCGTCGCGGCTGCCAAACTCGACGGCTCGCAACTGCTAGTGCATCTCGCAGCGGCGTCCGACTCGTGCGCGGCGCAGCCTCCACAGGATCCGCCACCGCGTTGCCGGTGCGTGCGGCATGCTCGCGTCGCCATGACGTCGATTTTCGTTGCTGACACCGCGTGTGTCGTTCGACTTTGAACGATCGCGGCGCTCCGACGTCGCAGATGGCTCGACATCGGCCGGCTCGGGGCCACCGGCGCCGTTCAGCCTCGAAAGCTCGCGCCGGGACCGCCGCCGCGCCAGCGCGAGGCGAAGCCTCCGCAGTGAAGTGCCCTCGTGCCCCCGGCGGGCAACGGTCAGCACGAGAAAGAAATGCTGTGGCAGGAGTTGCTTTAAGTCGGGCCTCTCCCTCTACAGGAGGGATGCTCAATAACAGTCAAAAAATAATATGGGGACGAGCTTGGAATATTTTGTTGGCCATTTTTGAACATTTCCCAATCAGGGCTTGCCTCTGTAGGGGTCTTAGCGCATTCATTCCTCAATCAGAGCTTGCCTCTGTAGGGGTCCTAGCGGATTCATATGGTTAGGTTAGGTTTGTCGCCGATTTTCGCTGCACGCCCGGATGCCCGGGTGACCGGGTGTGCGCGGGGCCGGGGTGCCCAGGGGGGGGGGGGGGTCCCGGGTGCCCGGGTGCCCTGGTGCCCTGCCCGGGCGTGCCCGGGGCTGCCTGGGGGTGCCCTATAGCCCTATAGCCCTAAGCCCTATAGCCCTATAAACCAATAGCCCAATAGCCCTATAGCCCTACAACTCTATAGCCCTATAACTCTATAGCCCTGTAGCTCAATAGCCCTTTAGCCCTATAGCCCCCTAGCCCTATAGCCCTGATTGGGGCTTTTCTCCGGTATCATATGGTTAGGTTAGGTTTGTCGCCGATTTTCGCTGCACGCCCGGGTGCCCGGGTGTCCCCGGGTGCCCGGGTGCCCAGGTGCCCAGGTGCCTGGGCGTGCCCGGGGGTGCCCAGGGGTGCCCTATAGCCCTATAGCCCTAAGCCCTATAGCCCTATAGCCCAATAGCCCAATAGCCCTATAGCCCTACAACTCTATAGCCCTATAGCTCTATAGCCCTCTAGCTCAATAGCCCTGTAGCCCCCTAGCCCTATAGCCCTGATTGTTTTTTTTCTCCGGTCGCAGTGTTTCGAATCTATCTAATTGTTCCTCGAGAATCCCCCTGTAGGGGGACACACCAGACTTAAGAGTTGCTCGAGGTGTCCCTGGCCGAAGTGTGCCCCCCGCGCTTCGCCTCCCCCGGCGGAGCTCCCGGGGGCAGGCCGGGCCTCGTGGGGGGGGTGCTCTGGCAGGCAGGCGGGGCCTCCCGTGAGTCTGGCGTGTCCCCCTGCAGGGGGGTGGTTGACGAAGGATAACAACGATTCCAAACATATTTGAAAATGGCAAACAACACTTGAAAATACTTGACAATGATTCCAAAAATAGTTGAAAATGGCCAAAAGATGCTCAGAAATCGTCCCCAGGCTGTTTTTGCACTACTTTGGGCTCCTCCCCCTGTAGAGGGACGGGCCCGACGTGAGGCCTCCCGGGACACCCGAGGGGACATCTCGGGCCAGGGGCGGCCCTGCACGGCCGCCGCCTCTTGCTGCCAGGCGGGAGGAGGAGGAGGAGGAGGAGGAGGAGGAGGAGGAGGAGGAGGTGGAGAGGAGGAGGAGGAGGAGGAGGAGGAGGAGCGAGGAGGAGGAGGAGGAGGAGGAGGAGAGGAGGAGGAGGAGGAGGAGGAGGAGGGGGGAGGAGGAGGAGGAGGAGGAGGAGGATGAGGATGCCAGGCGGACCACTGGACAGGGAACCCCCCTGGCCAACGCGGGGCTGCGGGCGCGCCTCTGCCACGGGCGGCGGGCTCCCCCTGCCGGGAGCTGCGGAGCGGCTCCCCCCGGCCGGGGCCCGTCCCGAGCCCAACGTGGCCCTCGCCTCGGCGTGCTGGCGTCGGTGGTCCAAAGATGGGGCCCTGATTACCAGCCTCGAACTTATCCCCAGCCCTACGATTGACGCGCCAAAAGGCGATGACAATCTCAGGGATGCGCCCTCGAAAAGGAAGGGAACCCCTAAGATTGGCATCGTGATGAGGCGATGCCCAGCATAGGGATAGGGCTATGCTCCAGGCTGGTAACGTGAGGGATGGGGTCCTGAGGACAAGGTGCCTCGAGCAAAACTGTACTTCCACCCCTGGATCCCTTCCTATCCTAATAGGCCCCCGTCCCTCAGGACACCATCTCTGAACCACCGGTGGCTGTACCAAGAGCCGTAGGACGCCCTCCCGACGTGGTGCTTCGGGGCGCTGCTGCCGGCTCTCGCGGGCCCGTCGTGAGGCTTCTGTCCCGGAGGCCTCGGCATCGCGGCCACCGAAGCTTCCCAGGAGAGCTCAAGATCTCCCGAGAAGGCCTCCTGCGGGCCCCAGAATTGGACCCTGAACGGACCCCGTGGCGATACGTTGGAATTCGCACTCCCACCAGTACGCCTGCAGTATTCTAAGCCATGTCACATTAAGCCCTCCATAATTAGGGGCTCTCAAGAGCCACGAATGGAAGCACGCCATGGCCTGCAGTCGCTCCCACTCAGCCTTGACCGACAGGTCTGGCACAGCCAGGCACGGCGGCGGGCTGTGCAGAGCCCGCTGGCTCCCCCTTTTGCCGTTGGGTGCTCTGAAATAGAAGCACATATTCGGTTTGAATCTCCGAACCTTGAGGGATGAAAAAACGGCCCTACCCTGGGTTACAAGTGCGTGGTCTGTAAACCTCCTGGGAAGCCCCAACGCCTAGCGCCGCCAGGACGCGGCACATCACGCAGGGCTTACCCCGTCAGCCAAGAGGAGTTTCAGCGCACAGCGCCTCGTAAATCAGGGTAGGGGCGTTTTTTCTGCCCTTGAGAACCTCTCTACAGACCGTCCAGGCCATGCTGACGGCCCACAGTTCTTCATCGCCAGTCGCACCCCAGCAGCACAAAATCGCTCAACATGCCCAGGATGCCGCCAAGATGACACAATGAGGCGCCCAATGCAGTCTCAGACAGCCCAGCAAACCCGCAAAGGACTCCAAGCGGCGGCAAGATGGCCGAGAGGGTCCCCAAAGGGTTCAACGATGTCTCCAAGACGGTCCCAGACGCTCCTTGATGGCTCCAATGGGACATTTAAAACAACAAAGCATAGGCTTTCTGATACGTGTGAATTCCAAACCGTTCGGCTCATTGTATCCAGGAAGGCCTGGAGAGCCGACGAACCCCCCCCAAAGGGCCCACGAAAGGCTCCAACATGACCATGAGGCGGCCCACGGTGAACGTGGACGGCGCGAGAAAGCCCCAAGATAGATCAACAAACTACCAAAGGAGCCACGAGACAGCCCAAGAGAACATCAATGCAGCCCAAAGAGTGATCCAGAAGGGCCAAAAAGAACTCGAACATACATCCAGGACTGCCGAAACTACTGCCCGGGTGAACTTCAAGAAGGCCCGCAGACAGCCCAATATAGAAATCACCAAGCAGGCAGCATGCGCCCCGAGACCAGCCCGCAAGACCCTAAGAATACCAAGACGGTCCGAGAAAGCCCCAAGACGGCCCCAACAGGCCCCCAGGAGCGACCAAGAGTCCCCGAAGACAACTCAAGAGAATGCCAAGGCGGCCCGAGTAGCGTTCCCCACCGGAAAGTGCCGTACAATACCTCGAATACTACCCGAGAGAGGGCCCTGAGAAGGCCCCAGGAAGGCCCAAGAGGGCGCGCCAAGACGGCCGAGGAGGCCCCACAAGCAGCCCACGAGGCTCCCAGGAAGGCTGTCTCAAAGGCCCCCCCAAGGGGCACGACGTTCGGCCACGTGGCTCGCCCGAGGCGTCTTCGATAGGTGCTCAGCTTCCTGACCGACGGTCCCTGCCGCTGCCGCGCCCCGCGGCGCCAGCCTGGCCTTACGGGAGCACGCTGGCCGTCGAGACCGAGGTCGCGGTCACCGCGGGGATGCCCGTAGTCGTGTGCGCCCCGAGGCAGAGGAAGCGGTACTTCTCATCTCCCCTCGTCTGGTCGCCGGTCGTCTCCACGAAAAACAGTATGTCTAACCTTAGGTCGAGCATGTCCTCCTACAGGCGGATCTTGGAGGAAGAAGTAAACAGAGTCCAAAAATGCTCAGAAATGGCCAAAACTAATACAAACAAATCGTGCCCAGACTATTTCTGTACTTTTTTTGGAGATTCCTCCTGTAGAAGGACACGCCCGACTGAAGTCTGACCTGGTGTCGTATGCGCAACTGATCCCGGTCGCAGCGCCCGGGACGAAGATCTGCGTCGACGTGGTCACACCGAGGCCCGGCGCCGCGGCGAAGCATTGCCCTCTGCTCGGGATGTCAGCCAGGCCCACATCTGCGCACGTCCGGCCCGGGGCCAGAATCGAGAAGCCAGGCGGGGACGCCACGGTCTCGGTCGTAGAGGAGGAGACAGTGCTCGTGCGGATGCCTGGGCACATGTACCGATACTTCGGGTCTGGTAGCGTTTCGGGGCCAGTGGACAGGGAGTAGAGCACAATGCCAGATGCCGAGTCGTAGACACAACTGAAGCCTAATGCAGCCGGGATGTCACTGAAGGTCTGCTCGCCAAGTCCAGCGGCACCCATCGCCGACTTGCACCCCGAGGAGTCCGACACGTCGCCAAGGCCGACCTCGTCGCAGGTCATGCCGGCCGGCAGGAGAGAGTAGCCAACACCGTTAGAGATGGCAGGGGCCAGCCACCTGCCCGACAGCCCTCCCATTGTCGCGTCCGCCGACGCCGGCAGGGGCGACACGAGCGCGCCGGCCGCAGAGACCGAGGTCGCGGTCGCAGTGAAGCCCTCGGTCGTGGTGCTCGTCGCGGGGGCGCGCGCCGCCGTGCGACCAGGTCCCCAGCGCCGGCAGCACCGCCGCCTCCGGGGCGGCTGCGGATGCGGGTGCCGCCGTCCATGCTGCCCCTGCCGCGAGGAGCAGCACCTGCGCCACCAGTGCATCCCGCCGGAGGCCGTGCAGGGGTGCCATGGCCACTTTTCCAGCGGAACCAGTTCGGCAGAGGTGCTGACCAACGAGTCCCACAAACGGTAGCTTGGGCCTGACGGCGTGCGGAAGTATTGCGTTCCGACTTCGAACGTGCACCTGTCGCCACGGAGTAGCAGTTCTGACGAGAAATTACAAACCCAAGCAAAAGAACCATTCCAAAGTGGAGTTGTATGCACCCCCACGGTTTGGTCAGGGATGACGTGTACGAAGATTCTGGGTCCAGAACGGGCCTTGCCAGGGGCGGTGGATATGTATGATCCAGGGTTGAACCCTCCCGCCCCCCAATGTACGCCCGTGAGCCTCGCGAAGGCCTCGCGAGTGGGATCGTCCACCCCCACTATGATCGTGGCCCTGTGGGTGTGGCGTGGTTGAGGGTGCCAATGCTCTTCCCCCTCCCCGTGGGTGTGGGGTGGTTCGTCGTCGTCGTCGCGATCTTCCGTCGTCGATGTTGTCGTCTTCCGTCGGCGTTGGCGTCGTCGTCGGCGTCGGCGTCAGCTTCGGCGTCGGCGTCTGCGTCGTCGTCGTCGTCATCGTCGTCGGCGTCGGCGTCGGCGTCGGCGTCGGCGTCCGCGTCGTCGTCGTCGTCGTCGTCCGCCACCCCACCATTGTGGGGGGGACTGTGGAATCCTGGGGCCCATCCCATCTGGGTGAGGGGGGCTCTGAACCCCTGAATCCGGGATCGTGTATAGATCTCGTCGCCCAGTGCTCCTCCTCTGGCGTGGCTCCTCCTCCTCTGGCGTGAAGGGAAACGGCACTGGTGCACACGGGTCGTGGCCCTGCAAGGGGGGGCCTCCGACATGGGCTCCCCTCCCGGCTCGCACGTTTGACGCTCCCGGGGCCCGCGGGGGAGGGCCGAGCGAGCCCGAACTCGGCGAAACCACTGCAAGAAGTCCTCTCCCCGAGGACCCTGTCCGTCCTCCGTGTCCTCCGCCCAACCAGCCTCGAACGTATCCCTATCCCTAAGATTAACAAGCCAAAAGTCGACGACAATCTTAGGGATGCGCCCTCAGAAACGGAGGGAACCCCTAAGATCGACATCGAGATGAGGCGATGCCAATCATATGGATAGGGATATGTTCCAGGCTGGTGACCTCCCTCCTCCTCGACACAGGGCGTCGCGGCCGCGGTCAGCCCCCTGTGCCGACTACTGCCCCTCGGCTGGGCGCCTGCGGCGGCGACTCCAGCCGCCACCGCGTCGCCGAGCGCCTCCGCGGGCGGGAGCGACTGGGACGCCTGCTGGCCCGCGTGCCGCGGGCGCGGGCCGGGCGGAGCACTGCGCAGAGGGCACCTGTCTGCCGCCACCGTGCCCGGCTACAGTCGGGGCGTTGACCTGAGGAACCCTAAAGAAGGAAGGAGGCCCTTTTCTCTCACAGGTTACACTTCGATCACCCATGGGAAACCTCAGGAAAACCCAAGGCAAACTGTGAAGCAATCGACGAACACCGAGCCCCTGCCCAACGAAAAGGGTTCCTTCTTCAGCGCCCCGACTGTAGTGCCATTCTGGGCCCTGGCATGGCAGATGCGCGCTCTGGGCCAAGGCCAGCCCGGTCGATACACCACTCCTGGGCCCAGGATCTGGGGGCCCCGGCCAGCCATGGTGGTGGTGGTGGTGCGCAGGAGCCCTCTGCGGAAGCACCCGTGCGAATCCGATCAAGCCAGGACGACCAGCGAGACGATACGACGATCCAGCTCCGAGAGAGCTCTTCTGCGGCACAGGGCCGAAGCATTCGCCCCCCTTCGTTGGGCGCTGCAGGGCCAGACGTCCTAGTGATCAAGCGTTCGCACAATAATCATAATCATTCCTGCTGATGCCCTTCCTGCCGCCGCTACCACATCCTCCTCCGCCACCTCACAACCCTGCCTGGGGCCGCACTAGTCCTCGCCATTGGCAGTACTCCTCAGCCCCCTCCTTGCGCATCGTATTCCTTGTCCCCCCCCCTTTACCCACCACCTCATGGTCGTCCTATTCCTCCTTCTCATGCTGCCCCCACATTGCTCCCACTCATCACCTCTCATCCAACGCCTCGTTGTTGTGCCCTCCTCATCGATCCCCTCCTGCTCACTCTCTTCATCCCTGCCCCGTGCTCCCCGTGAGGCCTCCTCGTCCTCCTCAGGACTGTCGTCTCTGATTTCTGCCTCCAACTGCATCCATCAAGCCTCACGCCTCCTCATTTTCCACCTCCTCCTCCTCCGCCTCCTTCCCACTCCCGTCGGTCCTCCTCCTCCTTCGCTCCATCTTCCTCCACCTTCCTTATCGCCCTCCTCACCCTCCTCCTCCTTCCTCCTTCCCTCTCCCCACCTCCTGCTCGCTGGGCCCCGTCCTCCCGCGTAACTGATCTAATCAATGTGTTTGCTTGCGTCGCTTCGGGTGAATATAAATTTGACAGGGAACTGGGATTCGGCCACCATAGGCGCACGCTTGGCGGACGAGAAAGAGCAGCTAATCGCTGGTGTGTGCACCAGTTGTGCATACTTCGATTCGGCGGCCGGTGCTTGATTGGCATGAGGGACGCATCGCTGTTTCAGAGGAGTATCCATGGATTTTGATTTCAATCCGCAGAATCCCGGTTGCGGGGGCTGCCAAGGCGTGTGAGATGATTAGCGATGCCCCCCTCTCCATTTCCCCATCCGCTGGGGCCTGAAATCCGACTTGATGGGGGGGGGCGGGGGAGTGGCCTCTGAGCTCACCAGCGCTCCCCCGGCGCTCCTGGAGCCTCCATTTGTACACTTTGTGCCCGTCAGGATGCCCAAGAATCGATCGACGCTTGCTCAAGCAGGGTTCCAACACGCACAGGCGTCCTCGAAGACGGCCACGATAGCCTCAAGACTGCCCAAGAGGCCTCAAAGACACCCCAGGAGGGCTCCAAGACGACCCCCGAATCGTCCGAAATGCAGGAGAAGACGTATACTTTGAACATATTCGCATTTTTGGTCTCAACACGGCTCCAGAGGCCCCCATGATCGCTCCAAGAGGGTCCAAGATGCCCCCAAGAGGGCCCCAAGACACCCGAAGAGCGCCCCACGACGGCCCCCAAGAGGCGCCCAAGATGGCCCAAGAGAGCCCAAACAGGGCCACAACAGGGGCCGACGAGAAGCAACTCGAACTGACATTCCGAGCCCCCCCGCCCCAAGAGGACCCCCGAGACCGCCAGCAGGCGCCCAAGAAGCCCCGAAGAGGCCCCTGAGAGGCCCAAACGAGGCCCCAAGAGGATTTCCAAGAGGCCCGTCATCCTTCTTTTTGTGGGTCGGCGGAGTGGCGCACGGCTCTGTCCTAGAATTGGCGCTTCATTGCCAAAGCAAGAGAGCAGGCGCCGGCTCGGGGTTAGTCGCACTGCTTGCGTAGAACTCGTTTCGGCGGCCAGGGCTGGCTGGGAGCATCGAAGCCGCCTCGTTGCTTCGGAGGAGCACACATGGATGTGGCTGTCATTCTGCTTGGCGCTGACTTGCCGCACGAGGGAGACTTGGCGCTGACTTGCCGCACGAGGGAGATCGAGCGATGGCTTGTGAGTACTGCTTCGCCCAAGAAGACTTGACATTGCACGTGTCACTCGATTCGCCAGTGCTTGTCTGACACACGGGAGGTGCGTCAGACGTCAACAAAAGTCAAGGTGGCGTCTCGGCAGGTGCGCGGACGAGGGGGGGAGGAGGAGGAGGCGGAGGAGGTTGCAGCGTCTGGGGGGAGGAGGCGGAGGAGGAGGTGGAGGAGGAGGATGGGGAGAAGAAGGTGGAGGTGGAGGAGAAGGAGGACGAGGAGGAGGAGGAGGAGGAGGAGGATGCGGAGGAGGAGGAGGAGGAGAAAAAGGAGGAGGATGAGGCGGAGGGGGGGAGGAACAGTGCGTTTTTTTTTTTTTTTTTTTTTTTTTTTGTTTTCTCTCTCTCTCTCTCTCTCTTTCTCTCCCTCTCTCTCTCTCTTTCTCTCCCTCTCTCTCTCTCTCCATGTTCTCCTTCCTCTCCTCCGTCTCCCCTGCTCTGCGCCTCCCCTGCTCCCTGCCCCCCCTCTCTCTCTCTCCCCGTGCCCGTGCCCCGGCCCCCCCCCCCTCAGCGCTGCCGCTCGCTCGCTTGCCGTCTCTGGTGCGCCGGTGGGTCTCGAGCGCTGTGGGTGTGCACGGCGCTCGCTGCCCTCTGGCTCTGCGTCGATACGGGGCTTGCACTCGGCTGCCAGGGATCCTACGAGCGGGCCGCTGCTCATACAGTCAAAAACGCACATCAAGGACGGGTGGTAAGGGCCTCATCCTCCTCCTCCTCCTCCTCCTCCTCCTCCTCCTCCTCCTCCTCCTCCCCCTCCTCCCCCTCCTCCTCCTGCTCCTCCTCCACCTCATCCTCCCCTCCCTTGTCCCTCCTTTTCCTCGCCCTCCCCCTCCGCTCCCTTTCCCCGCTCCTCACTCACCCCTCCTCCTCCTCCTCCGGCCCTTGGGGGCCGAAGTTGGACTCTTGTGGGCGGCGGGCGGCCAGTGAAAACGGCAAAGGACGGGCCGCAGAGGCGAGGACACCAGGGTATCCTAGATGAAGGCGCGCGTCCTTACCGGGCGCGTTGGCTGTACCTCAGTGCGCTTTACTGAGCGTCCAGGCCTGTTCGGTCACGAATGTACTGCAGTGTGGCTTTCCCACAGCTGCTGAGGCAATCGCTCTTGCCAGTGTTTCTTATTACGCCTCCCTGGACCCTAGTTCACCGCGGCGCAGAGGCCGCAGGAGCCTGGCCCACGAGCAGGGAACAGAAGGGCTGAGGGCGGCAGGGGGCAGGGGAAGGGGGGGAAGAGGAGGGCATCGAGGGCAGGGAGAAGGATGTTGGGGGGGGGGACGGAGAAGGAGGAAAGGAGGGGGCCGGCGGAGGTCGGGATGATGGTAACATGGTAGAAGGGAGAAGGGGATACGAGGAGCGAACAGGAAGGAGGGGCGGAGGGGCACGGAGGAGAGAAGAGGAAGAACGAGAACGCGGACGAGAGGAAGAGAGGAGAAGGGGAGGAGGGAGATGATAACCTGGTGTGCTCCATCCTGGTAGCCGCCACGCGCCCTCCACACCTGGCGCCCTGCGGCATCCCCTCGACTCTCGCGCGCCCTTCCGACTGCGCAACCCCACCCCTGCTTCCCCAGATCGGTGGCGACGGCGCCCACGAGGAGGAGGAGGAGGAGGAGGAGGAGGAGGAGGAGGAGGAGGAGGAGGAGGAGGAGGGAGGAGAGGAGGAGGAGGAGGAGGAGGAGAGAGAGACGGGAGGAGGAGGGAGGAGGAGGAGGACGAGGAGGAGGAGGAGGAACGAACGTCGCGGAAGGAGGAGGAGGAGCAGCAGCAGCAGCAGCAGCAGACATACCTCTATACGAAGATGGGTGACACGGCGACGACGACGACAGCGACGGCGACGACAACGACGGCCCTGACGACCACGACCACGGCCACGCGGCCAGCCACGGCGACGACAACGGCGGCCTCGACGCCCACGACCACGGCGACGACGACAACGACATCGACGGCGACAAAGAACGAGGCTTCGCAGGCTGCCTCCGCGGCGGCGGCCGCCGCCTTCTGGCCGCCTGGGGCCCCGGCCGCTTCCGCGAACGCCGCGGCGAGCTTCTGCTGCGCCGGTGGCGCCGCCTGCGCACGGCCCGCCCGCCCGCGGCCCTTGGCACGCACGGTCTCCGGAGGTGGCCCGCGCCCAACGAATCGTCATCTCCTAGGGGGCAGCTGCTGCCTCCGCAGGCCGTGCTTTGCTTCGGGGGAGGGGGGGCGGGGGGGCGAGAAGTGGTGGGGGGTGGAGAAGCGTGCACCTCTCGTGCCCCTTTTGGGGCTCCAGAGGGGCCCCTCTCCAGGCCCCCGGCATGAGAGCACAGTCGGTGCAACTTTCTTCCCCCCCCCCAATATCCCCCCCCATGACGCAACGCCTGAACTTCCGACTCCGCCGGCCCTCCGCCCGCTTCCGCTTGCGGAGCCGCCCTCGCGCTTCTTGCCACGGGCTTCCGCGGGCCTCCTGCTGGCTCCCGCACAGGGCAGAGCGCTCACTTCTCGATCTCTGGGCGGCGAGACCCTCGCTGCAGCGCCCCGCACGGGTCCGAGGCCGTCCACCAGGGATGGGCCTAGGGCTCGAGGGCGTCGCAGTGCCGCTGTCGCAACAAGGCTCCGAAGTGGCCCTCGAGGAATCATGGAAGCCTCAGGAAGCTCAGGTCGACCCCATGGGGCCCAGACTGGAACTCGAGTTGTCCTCGCCTCGGCCGCTTCTTCGCAAGATCAAGTGGGCGCCGCAATGGCCCGTCACAGAACCAAATGGGGGCCTTCAACCAGAGGCCTCAGATTAAGCCCAGAGATCGCCCTCGATTCGAAAATGGACCCTGGCTGCTACATCGTCGATCTAGCATGCTGTCTGGCGAGTCGTGCCTCCTGGCTCAGGACACCACTGCCTAGCAAATCGTGATTTCCCTTTCCGTACCGTCTGCAGTCAATCGGAGCACAAGAGACGCCTCCATGGATGATGTCGCAGCTGTGGCCTGCGTGGTCTTTGCGTCCACCACTTGCGCCTGTACTGGCGATGTCTTCAACTCCACCACTGGCACCTTCGCATCCGCCCGATACCCGGGGGGAAATGTCGGTGCGTGTCTTTATATATGTGTATATATACACATTCCTACTCAAATGTGTATATATATGTACATATATATATATATATATATGTGTATATATATATTATGATATACAATATAGGGCCAGGGACCCGGGAACACGCGCGCGCACCCTCCCCCCAGGGATCCCAGAAAAAGTGTCCACCCCGCTAACGAATTTGGCGTAACCTGGGCCTCTCGGGCAACCCTCCACACGACCCAGGAACCCCCACGCGAGCCCGAAGTCGGCCCCATAGGGCTCCATGCGTTCCAGCGCGCTCCCGAAACGACCCCAGACAACCCCAAGACGGTTCACAACGACCCCAAAGAAGCCGTCATACCCCAAAAGATCGCTCCGAAACGTCCCAAGAGGCCTCCAAGAGCACTCCCAAGAGGGCCCCCAGAGGCAACATTTGTTGATGTCCTGCCGGTTTTTCATACATTTTGGGGTTCTCCTCTTTTCGGCTTCCCGACGCTCCAAGACGGCTGTCTTTTAGGCGTCCGAAGCCGCCTGGGACCCCTCAACCATCCGAAAGGGCTTCCAGGCAGTCCACGAGAGCCCCAGGACGGCACAACAGGGTTCCAAGATGGCCTAAGAGAGCCCCATGATGGCTCAAGGTGGCCCCTAGACACCCTCAGAAACATTCCAAATCATGACCCGGTCGTCCAGGGAGACTGCGGTTGGAGGCAGGGTGGCCCGAAGAAGCCCCCAGAGGCCACCAGAAGACGCTCAGGAGGGCTCCAGAAGGCTTTGAGAAAGCCTGAAAACTTTTGTGGGGCTCCCAGAGGCTCTCCAAGGAGGAGCCTCCGCAAAAATAGCTGAGGATGATGGGGGGCATACGCAGGGTATGACGATAATGAAGAGGAAGAAGCATGGAGGAAAGATAATAAAACACATTATTATAACGACGATGCCAGAAAAAGCAGCAAAGAATTATCGCTGAATTGCAAGGTGCATGGCGCGAAGCGCCAATATCTCTTTCTCTTACTCTCTCTCTCTCTCTCTCTCTCTCTCTTTCTCTCTATATGTATATAGATATGCATGCGGCCTACCCCGGCAAACCTGTCTGACCTGACTATGTTTCCTGTTAATTTACAACCGAAAGACAACATTGAGTCGGCATCGCCCTCAACGGACACATTGTTCGAACGAGTTCCGAATTCATTCTCACTCCAACGCCCCAAACCGATATCTTACAATCCATGTCATGCGGGCGTGACCTCTCGACAACAACAATGATAGCCCACGGCGCTGGCGAAGCCTTTTCCGTTGAATTTGACGCGGGTCACAACAATACTGGCGCAGCGGAAGCATCGCCGCGCATCGCCGCCTAGCTGTTGAACACACAACGAAGCACGCGACCCCACGCAATACTAATACACAACATGGCTCTGTCTTAGTGCACGCGCACAGTTTGGCCCTCCACGCACATGGCACTATGCCTAAAGCACGCGCAGCTCTTGCATGATACAAGCGCGTAACGTATGCTTGGAGCGCACGCCATATCATGCGCCTGGTACACATTGCGAGACCTACCCAAGGTATAATAGGGAACCGTTCAATGGAGATTACAATGAAAGGCTCATCTCCCACCTCCTCCTCCAGCCGGAACTAATCGTTTCTCCTGTCAGGGTCGTCCCTCCGTCCTCGTCCCAATCCATCATCCTCCCTGCGCCGTTCGTTCTCCGACCTCCTTGTCTGTCTGTTATTCCTCACTCTCCTCCCCTTAGCGATGAATGTTAGCGACGTGTGGGTCAAACTTCGGGGCTGCAGGCAGGTACGATGGAGGCGGGACTGTGCCCAAGCACGTGAGTCAGACGGTGGTGCTGCCACCAGAGGATATCGGCTGGCAGCCCTCGTTACGAAGCCCTCGCCACGCCATTCGACAGTTGCAATTTGCTTTCGTACGCTCCATCCAAGTCTGACCAAAACGTCACTCGAAGCTCGCCACCGACACCAGCCTACACAAGCGCAGAGAAAGAGAGGGAGGGAAAGAGAAAGAGAGAGAGAGGGAGAGAGACAGAGAGGGATGTAGAGGCATGCTAGGTGCGCTCGCGCCTCATCTGACCTATCCCTCCCTCCCATCCTTTCCCATGGCGCTGATGAGTTTCTATCCGCGGACGCGTGTCATAGCCGACCTGCGACTCACACAGAAAGACCACTTCGTGTCAAGCTCAATCGGAAAAACGGGGAGCTGCGCGCAGAGGAGGAGGAGGTGGCGGGTGAGCAGGAGGATGAGCGGGAGGAAAGGGATGAGGACGAACAGCATCAGCAGCAGGAACCACAGCGGAAGGATGAGGAGGGAAAGGAGGACCAGGGCAAGGCGGAGGAGGGGAAATGAGGGGGTCGACAACGATGAAAGAGGAGTCGCATTCAGAAAGGTGGCCCGCGCTGGAGCGAGACGCAGCGGCAGGAACTGGAGTGGAAGGAGCGGGAGGAACAGGAAGACCAGGGGAAGGCAGAGGAGGGGAAATAATGGGGAGCATCACAATGAAGCAAGACTCGGATCCAGAAAAATGGCCAGCGCTGGGGCGAGAGCGCCGGTCTGAGCGACGGGGGGAAATGCGCTGATTCCAACATGAGGACCACGCTGCAGCGGCAACACGATTTTGAAGCACCGCAGACAAGTGGACGCTAACAAGCCGTGGGAAACATCAATGTTCGAAACCATGTGCGTAACCAAACACAACACGCGGAGGGGGGCGGGAAATCTGCAGGGCAACCTCAGGGGAGGGGGGGGGGAGCATGCGCAGCATTCGTGTGGATCGAACTGTGGAGAGAGGGGGGCGAGGAAGAGGGGGCAAGAGGAGGAGGAGGAGGAGGAGGAGGAGGAGGAGGAGGAGGATGAAGAGTAGAAGGAGGAGGAATGGGAATGGAGGCAGGACGAGGAGAAGGAGGAGGAGGAGGAGGAGGATGAAGAGGAGGAGGAGGAGGAGGACGAAGATTAGAAGGAGGAGGAATGGGAATGGAGGCAGGACGGAAGCGTACCGATCAGGGCGGGGGGGACGGCGGGAGGAAGGGCGTGCACGGGGGGGAACGGAAAGCGGGGAGAGCTCCGTATGTGACGAGGGAGGGAGACGGGGATCATTAGGGGGAGGGGGAGAGATATAGGGAATCCAATAGCGGGGGAGGGGGAGGGAATCAGAGGGGGAGGGGGAGGGGGGGGGGGGAGACGGGAGGGGGGAGGGGGGGAGATATAGGAATCCAATAATGGGGGATGGGGATGGGGAGGGAATCAGAGGGGGAGGGGGAGGGGGAGAGGCAAGCTAGGTGCGCTCGCGTCATATCTGACGTCCTACTCCCTCCCTCCCATCCCTTACCATGGCGCTGATATTTCTCTATCCGCGGACGCGTGTCGTAGCGGACCTGTGGCTCCGCGCGCGCGTGCGTAGTGGGTGGTGGTGCACGTGCGTGCGTGCGTGTGTGCGTGTGTGCGTGGTGGTGGTGGTGGTGGTGGTGGTGGTGCTGGTGGTGGTGCTGGTGGTGGTGGTGGTGGTGCTGGTGGTGGTGGTGGTGGTGGTGGTGGTGGTGGTGGTGGTGGTGGTGGTGGTGGTGGTAGTGGTGGTGGTGGTGGTGGTGGTGGTGGTGGTGGTGGTGGTGGTGGTGGTAGTGGTGGTGCGGCGCGGTGGTGGCGGGCGGATGGGCGCGCGAGAAAGAGGCCCGCGCTGGGGCGGGAACGCCATCCTGAACGGCGGAGGCCAAACAACGATCCGAAAATGAGGCCCACGCTGCAGCGGGAGCACGATTCGGAAGGATTCGGGAGCAGAAATGATGCCGGCGCCTCACCGAGAGCAGCATTTTGAAAAAAACGCAGGCGAAAACCCAACTCCCGGGAATCCTGTGTTAAAAACAATACGCGGGAGGGGGTCGGCCACTCCCAGCACGCCATCAGGGGAAGAGGGAGAGTAGTATTCATATTGAGTAATTGTGGAGGGGGGAGACGGGGATCCGAGGGGGGAGGGAGAAATATAGGGAATCGAAGAAGGACATACACATAAAAAACGCGGAGGTCCGCGCGGATGCGGGGTTGTCAGGTCAGGGGCGTTCTTGGGGCACTCTCAGGGCCACCTTGGAAAGTGCGCGTTGCCCCCCAGGCTGTCCCATCCCGTCTCGCTAACCGGAAAAGAGGAAAAGAAAATACACACATAAACATAAACTGTTGGCGGTCCGCGCAGATTTCTCGGATCCGCGCTGGACCCCCCTGGCGCGCTTCTGGCGCCCGGGGCGGCGCCAGAAGCGCCGCCAGGGGGCCCCAGCGCCGATCCGAGCAATCCGCGCGGAGCTCCTAGTTGTTTTATGTTCATGTCATAGTTCGTTTCCCTAGAGTCAGGTCGGGCCTGTCCCCTGCAGGTGGATTTGAAGAGAACAACTATAAACATATCCAAACAACTCCTGAAACAATACCCAACAATACTCAAGACATCGCCCCCAGACTATTCTTCTGTAGAGCGACAGGCCTGACTCAACACCAGAGAAGGATAAGCGAGGCAGAAGGGGCGAACGAAGGCGGGCCTGTCCCCCTACAGGTGGATCTGGGGAGAAAAATTAGAACATATCCAAACACATGTCTAGACAATGCAAAACGATACTCAAAACATCGTCCCCAAAAAATTCTTCTGTAGAGGGAGGGACACGCCTGGCTTAGCCCCAGGGAAGGATAAGCGAGGCAGAAGGGGCGAGCGACGGGGGTGCGGAGGAGGGGGGGCGCGGTGCGGCAGGAGGAGGCAGGGCGAGAGGGCCGCGGGCGGCTGGCTCGGGGGCGCCTGCCGCTGCGGGAGGAAGAAGGGGTCGGACGGGAGGGAGCGGGCGAGGACGGGAGAGGATCACTGCAGGGGCCCTGGGACACACAAATCAATACACACACATCACAGGACTCCCCAGACCTTCCCATATATTCTGGGTTGTTGTCTCTTCCCCCCCGCCTTCCCTCTTTTCCCATATGGTCTGGGGAATCGACGATGAATTGTGTCTGTGTGTGTTTTTCCCCTCCTGATCGTGCTGGGTCATGCTGGCCAAACCTCCGAGGCCGCGAGGCACCCGCAACGGTAGCGCAAACGAGTCAGCCGCCTGATCCCCAGGCCTGTCCTGGGCGACAGGGCGGAGGCTCCTGAAGCGCACGCGGCCGAAGCATCGACCACCGCGCGACTAACGGGGACGGAAGAGGAGACGAGGGAGGTGCCGGCGGAGGATCAGGGAGGAGGGGCGGGGATAGAGGGAGGAGGAGCAGAAGTCTCCACTGGCGCTCGCCCCACGGAGGGGCACAGGCACACAGGAGGAAGCTCCATGCCAACCTCCTCCAATCTCCTCCGCCTCCACTTCCTCCCCCCCCCTCCTCGCCCGGAGGGAAGGAGCAGCAGCAGTTCAGACAGGAAGGAGGCGGGACGAGCAGCAGCTGTCTCGACGAACGCGCTCGCTCCTCGAACGGGAAAAACCAAAGCATGATGAAGACGACCCCCCTGGCCCGCCACCTCTCATTCTTGACGGGAGAGGTGGAGGGGAGGACCCCGTGCAACTCTTGCATGCCCTCGCCTGGTCTCCCGCGCTGGCGCCTTCGCCTCCGCAACGGGTGCATTTACCTCCACCGCTGGCGCCTTCGCCTCCGCCGCCGGCGCCTTCGCCTCTGCAGCGGGTGCCTTCGCCTCTGCAGCGGGTGCCTTCGCTTGGGCCGATAGCGCCTTCGTCTCTGCAGCGAGCGTCTTCGCCTCCATCGCCGGCGCCTTCGCCTCGGCAGCGGGTGCCGTCGCCTGAGCCGCTGGCGCCTTCGCCTCCACCGCCGCCGCCTTTGCCTGCGGCGTCGACTCCTTCACCCCTGCCGAGGGCGCTTTCGCCGCCTCCGCCAGTGGCGCTTTTGCCTCCGTCGCACCCGCCTTTGCCCCCACCTGCGGCGGCGCGGGGGGGGAGTGACAGTTCTGTCTTCGTTGTCAATCTGGTGCTCCTCATCACCCCTCTCCATCTCACGTTCCTCCTCCACGTCCAAGGGTGGGGGGAGCGAGGGAAGCAGGGAGGGAGGGGGATGATGGAGGGTGGGATGGGGCCACATTCCAAACCAAGGGGAATAAAGCGCGCATGATGACATCGAAATCCAGATCGATGGCCCAACAATACTTGGGACAGGGAAGCGGCAAGGGAATTGTGAGGGTCGCAGGCAGCGGGAGAGGTGGGATACTGCATCGGGAACGGATCGCTGACCCGGAGCTGTGCCAGCGCCGTCGAGGCAACGACGAGAGCCTGAGAAGAAATGAGGCTTCGAACAGCTGGCTGCGTGGGCATGGCTCGTGTTTTGCCCTGTGGCCCCCCATCCGCCCTACGTCTGCTCCAGACTCTCCCACATGACAAACAGAACGCACACCCTCACACCCAAAATCCAGTCTGAACTCTTCCACCAGACCCCGTCTGCTCCTCTTCATAATCCGTTGGCTTTATTTGTCTCCACCTGTGGTTCCTTTGTTCCATTTGCGGACGCCTTTGTCTACGTCACTGGCGCCTTACTCCAAACTGTGGGAACCTTCTTTACGACCCACCACGGTGAGCACCTCTACTCCAATTCAAGCATCGGCGCGTTCACTGCTTGGATCTTCGACTCTATTCTGCAACCGCCATTCGCCTCTGTCGATGACAACTTTGAGCGCAGGAGCGTCCCACGCTCCCGCCCCCAACGTTGAGCACCTCCTGGTCGTCCTCATCGTCATACTCCTCCTCATATCTATGTTTCGCCTCCTCGTTTGTCTTTCCACCTCCTCCTCATAATTAATCATCCTCCTCCTCCTGCTCCTCCTCCTCCTCCTCCTCCTCCCCCTTCTCCTCCTCCTCCTCCTCATTGTCCTCAGCATCATACTCCTCCTCCTCCTCCCTCTCCTCCTCCTCCTCCTCCTCCTCCTCCTCCTCCTCCCTCTCCTCCTCCTATTTATTGTTTCGCCTCCTCAGGCGAAGGGCTTCATGAGGGGGTACAGCACTGAGGGCGTCTGGGATGAGAAGACACAGGGAGATGCAATACCACCCCGCCATTCATGGGACCGTATCGGATCCCCACGCTTGCCTGAATTGGCTGCCCTCCATCCATCCTGAACAGGTGCTGCGAGGAGCAAGGGGAACAAGAGAGGGACACAGAAACACTTCGGAGGGATGCCCGGTGTGACACGAGATGCCCCGAGAACGTGCAATCACACCCTCGCGGCTAGCGCTGGGGGGTGCGGGTCTGAGACGAGATGATGCGACACGCTGGTGCCATTTCGGGGGAAACCAAAAGGTACCAATACCGCTGCTCCCCGGACCTCTCCTGGGGTGCGGTCTGACCAGGATCTCGAGGCGAATCCAGCGGTGGCGGCGAGGGCCTCCCAGGAGGCCCCCCAAAGGGGAAAACGAGGCCAGGGGAGCGGCATGGCTACCGCTTCCTCCTCCTGACTTTCTCGCCCCCTCCTGGCCGCCTCCGCCTCCCCGGCGGACGCCTTGGCTCCAGCCGCGGGCAACTTTGTGCTCGCTGCCGGCTCCGCGACCTCCGCCTCCCCTGCCGGCACCTTCTTGAGCAGGGACCGACCGTCCCGGCATACCCATAGTCCTGCCACGAAATGTTCCTAGAACCCAAGAGTGTTCTAAGAACAAAAACAATGGTCCTAGAACATACACCCGATGTGAGATCACAAGACAGAACCGCCAGAAATGCTCAAAGAACATTTCGTGGCAGCCGCAAAAGGTTCTTAGCACATTGTTTGGCAGGGCTATAAAACGAGCCAGGACGCTTCGCCACTGCTTGACCTTCGCGCCCACGGCAGGCGCCGGCGCCTCCGCCGCGGGCGCCTTGGCCTGCGCTGCGGGCGCCGGGGCCTCCGCCGTGGGCGCGGCCGCCTGCGCCGGCGCCCTGGCCTCGGGCGCCAGCGCGCGCGCCTCCAGCCTCGGCGCCGCCGCCTCCACGCGCGCCACGGGCGCCGCGGAGTCCACCTTCCCCGGCCGAGGAAACAGGCGCCCCCCCTAGCTTTGGACGCCCGAAATGGGCACAGTCGAGGCGTTGACTTGAGGAGCCCTGAATAGGGAACGAGGCCCCTTTCTTTCATAAGTTAACCTTCGGCTTCCCGTCGAAAACTTACGTGAAACCCTGGGCAAGGTGTGGAACAATGAAGGAACACCGAGCCCCTCCCCAACGAAAAGGGTTCCTTCTTCAGGGCCCCGACGGTACGGAAAACATGGGCACAATGCCCAACAACAAATGTTGTCCCAAACCAACAGCGGCCGCTGTTGGGCAGGCGGCCTCCTGTCTCGAATGGGCTCAGGCCGCGGCGGCGTGGACAGAGAATCCTGGTCAAAGTGAACAGGAACTGCTGTTGGGCATCGTACCCATTCTTTCCGTACCCATTTCGGGCGTCCAGATGCGCCCCCCCTATCAACCTCTCCCCCCCCCCTCACAGCACCCGGCCACAGGGGGGGGGCGAGGCAGGGAAGGAAGAGGGTCTGGCAACCAGGGTTGGCTGCTCGAGCTGGGGACCTTCCTGGAGCCACTCGCTCCATCCGTGCGTCGAAACTGCGTCGAACGTCCGTCGATTCGACTCGGCCCTGAGTCGAACCCGAGTCGACCTTGAGTCGACCTTGAGTCGAACTGCAGTCGAGCTGGAGTCGAGCTGGAGTCGAGCAGATCCAGTCGGTGTGCCCGAGGAAGGTCCCCAAAACGAGCATCGGACTTTGAAGGTCGCTGGGGGGGGGGGCAGCGTTGTTTCCAGGGCCAGATCCCCGTACGCTCGGCGGGCGCGCTTGATCGGTCAACAGCAATCCTTACAGCCGCCCTTCGCGAGAAGCTCTGATTTCAGGTTTACTCTTGCCGACGATGGGGCTGCTCATGCTTGCGCTTGCCCGACAAAAGCATTGCCCTCTCCCCCGTCGCCCCAGAAACACAGGTCGCGTTCGCTGCCCCTCAGCGAGCTTCAAATCGGACGAACTGGCGTCTTGAGCGGGTCCGCCATGGCCAGCTTGGTCTGCACGGACGGCCCCTTCAGGTCCGCGAAGACCACCTTCGCCTCGGCCTGCGCTGCGGTCGGCAAGCGCCACACACGAAGGGAAGGAGGAGGAGGAGGAGGAGGAGGAGGAGGAGGAGGAGGAGGAAGGGAGGCGAAAATCGGGGGAAGGGGAGGGGGAACACCAGGATGAGGACGAGAAGGGGAAGGGGACGAATCAGGAAAGGAGGGAAGGGAAGGGGAAGGGGCGCATGAGGATGAGGGGAAGGGGCAGATCAGGATGAGAATGGGGGAGAGGCAGGGCCGAGGAGGAAACGGAGTAGAACGGGGGAGAGAAGGGGGACGAAAGGAGTCGAAGGAGGATAAGGAGGGGAAGGACGAGGAAACGGGATTCCATCTGAAAAGGTCTCCTCCATCCTGCGGGACCGAGGCCGCAGCCTGCGTCGTGTTGGTAGGTACCGGGGGATGCGGCGGGCAGGAGCGGCAGCGTGCCGGAACCGCTTCCAGACCCACCAAGCATCAACGAGAGGGCGTGACCAGCCATGCGCGTCGAGTGACGACGACAAGGATAGGACAAGATAGGACAATATAGGATAGGACAGGAGGAGGATAGGACAAGATAGGACAAGATGGGGGGAGGAGGAGGAGGATAGGACAATATAGGACTCGTCCGTGCGCGTGTCAGCAGCTGTGAGACGTGCCCACCGTGCGACACAGGTGTGCACGCCCCAAGCTCGAACACACAAACACACATCTTGAAGACTCGGCCATGAGTAGCGCGAACGTGGGGGGGCAGGAGGAAGAGGTAACGGCTGGTATGGCGGCGCCAATCATCGACGTCGTGGGGTGTTCGACTGGACCGAAACCTTCAGGCCAAACGCGGGGAGATGCGATTGGGGGGGGGCCTCCAACCCCGAAAGGGGTGATTCCGAATGGCCCCCTGGGAGTGCATTTCCGTGGGAGCCTCTCCCGTGCGCTCCTCGTTGTTGAAGAAGCAGCTCACGACTGGCATGCAAGCGTGAGCCTACAGCCGAACATGCGATCAAGGAACCTAGAATGTTAGACCTCTGGACCAGCTTCCCGCAAGTTTCTTGAAGCACGCCTGGGCCGGTGCCTGCCGTTAACGCCGGAGGGGCGAGCGTGCTCGAGAAACGGGGCCAGCTGAAACGCTGGCTGGCCCAATTTCTCGGGGGAGGCTACTCATCCTGATCTTCGATCATGTTTTTGCTGCTCGCTTGCCCGAGCCGTCGTCTGACAAGACTGCCGCGGTGGAGCTCGAGCTCAGCCGCTCTGGACGTCGCCCCCGCGGCCCACGCCGAGGACGAGCACCACCACGAGCTGCGCGGCCAGGAGCGCGGCGTTCGCGCCGACCAGGGGCTTCCAGCCGAGGCCCGCCACGGCAAACCCCGTCGCAGCCGTGCCGAGCGCGCCCACCAGCTGGACGATGAGGTCGTTGGCTCCCTCCGCCGCCGCCCGCGCTGGCCGAGGGTGCTCCTGGAGCAGCTGCGCCAGCAGGCTCGTTGCGCCGACGAAGCCCCAGTTCCAGCCGACGCCGATAACGGTCAGGCTGCCCAAGTAGATCCAAAACTCCGAGGGGTCGATCAACAAAGAAACCATCGCCACAAGGTTCACCGTCAATCCCACAAGCATCATCTTCCGCTTGCCAACTGTGCCGACGAGGTGGCCGGTGCAGAAGCTCGGGACGTACATTCCCAGAATATGCGCCTGTATGACACGAGCAGAAAAATCCAGTCCGAAGCCATTCCGCTCCATGGCCAAAGGCAAAATCTGCATGGGGCTAATCATGGTCAGTTGCACGGTCGCGGCTGTGGTGGAGACTAAAACAAAGCCAGGGCTCCAAATCATTCTCGAAACACTGCGATCTGTTGGGGCAGCAGGTTGAGCAGTACCCGATCTGATTGGTGCTGTCTGGGTCTGTGCAACCGTGGCCTGTGCCGCGGAGGCCACACTCACTGCACCAGCCTCTGCTGACAGTACCACTGTAGACGGGGAAAAATCGATCGCCAGAATAATCAGCATTTCAAGAACGAGAAGCAGAGAGGCCCCAACATAGGAGCCCGCGAAGCGCCGCTCTGGAATGGAGTCTACCAGGAGTCTGGCTAACTCAGGTCCAGCCAGAGCTGCAACGGACCCTCCGGCAAGAACATAAGATATTGCTCTGGGCTTGTAGCTTGCAGGGGCGATGTCACCCGCTGCGAACCTCAGGAATTGAACGAACGGGTCGCTGACACCCGACAGGCAGTAGCCCGAGCACAACATCGCGAAGCTGGAGCCGGGATCGCTCACAAAAGCCACAGCGGCGGCAGATATGGCGTAGCCAAGAGCTCCCACCGCCGCCGCGGATGCAAACCCGCGCTTGGTCTTGTGCCTGGCACCTGGGAAGGCAGTGACGGTCTGCACCAACTTCTGCAGCGCCAGCGGCACCAACGCCAAGCTCGGACTCACCCGCTCGGCAACCGCCAAAGACACGATGCTGACGGAGGCGAACATGCTCCCCATGCCGAGACAGTAGCAGAGCGAAAGCAGCGCCACATCCTGTGCGATGGCCCGCGGCTTGTGCTCCAGCACGATGGTGGTGGGGGAAACGTACTTCAGATCATCGGCCGCCACTTCCAAGGACTGGGCTACCCCAAGCATAGCTGGATCTGCATTCTGGCTCAGCTGCTCCTGGGGCCGCTGGCCACAGCACTGCTCGGCAGACCCCGCTGTGGCCGGACGGTCCCTGCTGCCCGCGCCAGCCAGGGGAAGGCCCGAGCTGGCACGCATGCGGCAACACGAGAGAAATTAAGCACAACGGGAACAACTTCGCCTGCACAAGAGACTTGGGCCACCACGGCTCCGGACTGGTCCCGGAGGCGTCACGGAAATGACCCGGATGGCCTCAGCGAGACTTCGAGACAGAGGGCGTTGCTGCTCCTCCTCCCAGTGCCCCCCTGAAGCCCCTACGTAAAACCATTCCCCTCTGCCTGCCTCCTTTCCTCCTCCTCCTTCCTGGGCCCACCAGGCCTTCGAAAAGACACCCCTGGTCAGGGAAGGGCCTCCCCGGCGGCCCTCCTCCACCAGCGGGGGTACACGGCAGCCTCCGCCATCCTCCGCCATCTCCTGCTCCTCCCTCCTCCTCTGCCTCTTCCTCCTCCTCCTCCTGGTCATCCAACTTCTCCTAATTCCCTCTTCTTCCTTGTCCCTTCCCTGAGTATCGTTTAACCGATCCCCATCCCCAGCGGCGTGGCCTGGGCCCCACTGGCCGATTTACCCCCCTAGATGGGGATATAGGTCGCCCCCTTCGGGTTTCGAGGGGTGTATCCCCAACTGGGGTGGTAATTTGGTGGGGGTCTCGAAGGAGACGGGGATGGGGATGGGGATCGGTTAAACGATACCCATGCCCTCCGCCCCCCCCCGCTCCTGCTGAACTGCCCCCTGTCTCATGCGCCCCTGAAGCCGAGGGTTAGGCTGCGGCTACACGTCGTGGTGACCTCCCTTCGGTTGCTTGGACATCCAGGCCGCATCATGGGCACGGCTGGGCAATAGCATTAGGTCGGCCATGTCCCCCTACAGGCAGATGTTGGGCGAAAAGTTAAACATACTCAAACAATACCCCAACATAGTCAAAACACACTCAAAAACTCGTCCCCTATGTTTTGACTATTTTAGAATATTCCCCCTGTAGAGGGACAGGCCCGACTTAATGATAGCATCATCTGGTAGGCCGTGAGCGTGTTAGATGAAACACGCGACCGTTGAATCCGTGATAAGTGTTTTGCTGGCTTGATGGCCGAGACACACTTTGCAAGCAGGCGACAAGCGAACCGCCACCCGCACAGTATCTGCGATCGGTGCCCTGGCGACCCAGGTCTTGCCGCTACAACGCTGCATCAGACAGACGGGCCGGCTCGGCGGCCATCTCCATCTCCTCCTCTTCCTCCTCCTCCTCCTCCTCCTCCTCCTCCTCCTCCTCCTACCCCTCTTCTCTCAAAAATTCTCCACCGTCCTTCCACCCCCCTCCACTACTCAACCCTCCCTCCTTCCTCCATTCTCCCTTCTCCTGCCCCTCCCTCCTCTCCCACTTTCGTCCGTCCGCGACGGCTGCCTCATGCGGTTGGACCTGCGACACTGAGTCCCACCTTCCGGAGAATGGTGAAGAAGAGAGGAGCAGAGGATGAGCGTGGACGGGTAGGGCGAGATTGACGGAAAAGGGATAATGGTGAGGAGGAGGAGGACAGGTGAGGGAAAGAGGGGGGGGAGAAGATAAGATGGGGGAGAACGGGGACATGGATGAAGGATGAAGCCCCTCCATCATCCGTCCTCCCTCCTCACCCCTCCCTGCTCCACCCGCTTTCCTCCCTCCTCTCTCTTCTTCCTACTTCCCGCACGGGCTGAGCCCTCAATTCAATGTCGCGGCTTCTTGGAATCCACGGAGGTTGGACAAACCGACGTATCCGACGCACCATCGCACCTTTGCGACTGCATTGACGGAACTCACAGCAATTTACCAGACGCGACAGAGGAGCCGGATCGATCCGCGACAAACCAGGCGGAAGAACTTCTGGCGCGACTTTTTTCGCGACGTTTGGATGTGAGGGATAGAGCCAACCTGGTCCAATTCCTGCCACGCATCGCGGCCCACAGACGACCAGCCAGGGCATCAACACCGCCGTTTCGGAGGTGCTCTCGGACCGCAAACTGAAGCGGATACCGATCCACCCCCCAAGGTCCGCTAACTCAAGGAAATTACGGCCGAATCTTCTTCGCTTCTGAACCCCATGACCCAAAATGACACCCCCGCTCCAGGAGTCCATGGGTCGTGAGCCCGCCTTTTCTCCGAACTGGGTCGTGCCCTGAGGGCACTCTGCGCGAAGGTGGTGTTCGCTTGCAAAGATGCTGCGCGCCATGGTGGCGCCGTCGTACCCTCAGGGGTTGCGGCGCCCACTGTTCCCTTGCCTGAGGAGCGTTTGCCTCGACGGCTAGGCGCCACTGGCGCTTCGCCGGCTTCTCCTGCCAAAATTACGGAGTGTCTGTGTGGGAAGGGCTGATGCCTTGAGCTCTGCAGCTTGGTAGTGGCCAGCTCCGCTTAGATCCGAGCTGGTGTCTGTTGAGGTTCCACGGACGTGGGCGGCCGTGTCCGCAGG